AGACATGTCTACAGCTGGACATTGGCTTCCATCAATTTCATCCACAGCTAGTTTAACCATCCTAAACTTCGGTGTGTCATTATCAAAGTTTCTTCTCTATAAGTTAGCCCAGGAGAAATAAAACCAAACTTCTACCTAATTTACCACCACATAGTGTTGTCCTTCTTAACAACAGATATATAAATGAACTTTGAAAATAAGGCTATTATCGAGCACAAGTTAATTAAATCTAGCCCAAGTACTTTCGCTTAAAATAGCATCTTCAGGGGCATTTCGTCAAAATAAGAACTATCCGGCAAGCGTAGAGTGTGGAAACATTAAAAATAACATATTTAAATAACATATTTTTAATGTTTCCACACTCTACGCTTGCCGGATAGTTCTTATTTTGACGAAATGTCCCTGAAGATGCTATTTTAAGCGAAAGTACTTGGGCTAGATTTAATTAACTTGTGCTCGATAATAGCCTTATTTTCAAAGTTCATTTATTCGAGCATTCACCTCATTTCAGATATATAAATATAAAAAAATGTTTTACTCAGGAAAAATATATCTATGGACCATGTGCAAAGTAAGAAGGAACCCAAATAAAGGTAAATAGTGAACAGAAGGATAAATTTAGCGAAGATCCATTCACAGAAGGATGTGAAGATGCTAGAGAAAACCAAACAGTAAAAACATAGGTATGGGGAATAATTTCAATGATAATGGATTGAAGGGGAGTGTAAAGTATGGCTGGACATATATAAATAAGACGCACAGGAGTTGATTATCTTAATATATCACTCAAATTGCTAAATGCATGCCAGGCACATTCGTTTTGTATTCATCTTTGGCTAACTAATTTATTTTTAATCTATACAATTTCCACCTTTTTCTGACGCAGTATTTAGCTCAAGCATCATAGGAACTGCACCTTAGTCGGATTTATTTTTTGTTGATCTATATTCATTTAATTTAATTTTGGCGGAATATTATCTCCTTGTCTGACTCGCGAATATCCAAAAAGTACAAGTTTTTGGGTTAAATAAAATACATTAAACTGTTAAATTATTATATTTAAAAAAAATTTAAGTATGGTCGAACATCCATCAGTCAGGTTAAACGTTATAACTGTTATAAAAGAGTAACCTAAGAGTAAAAATTAAAGGACTTTTTATATTTTGTACATACTATTGCAATACTAAAAACGGAAAGAAGAATGTGCAACTAAAATATTGGTAGTATAATCAATTTTTACATGGTTTAATACAGCAATGATGTTTTAAATTTGATTAAAACTATGACAATACTAGTTCAGGGCAAAATTCTGCCCTCCGAAGAACATACGTATCCTTAAATAATTTCAAAATGTATCTATTTTGAATTTGTCACATCTAGTCCTCATAAAAATTTCCTCGGTTGTCTCTAGGTCTCCATTGCTATTATAAATTTGTCTAAAGGGTATAATAGTCTTTTTCCCCTACACGTTTTTGCTAATTTGAATATTTGGTTAGGGCGAAATTCTGCCCTTCGCAAAACATACGCATCTTTAAATAATCTCATTCAGAGCTCATTAACATATCTTTAGTTCTTTCTAGGTCTACATTGATTTTATAATTTTGCCTAAAGGGTATAATAATATTCTTCTCTTAGACTTTTTGTCAACAATATTCGTTTAGGGCAAAATTCTCCACTCAGCAAAACATACACATTCTTAAATAATCTTACAATTCTTATTTTGAGTTTGTCTCATACAGTGCTCATCAAAATTTCTTTAGTTGTCTATAGTTCTCTATTGCTATTATAATTTTTCCTAAAGGGTATAACAGTTTTTCATATTTTTGAAAATTTAGATAACATTAATATTCTGTTTCCCCTAGACAATTTTGCAAGTTTAAATATTTGTTCTGGTCAAAATTCTGCCCTCAGCTTAGACTCTATCGTTACTATATATTGGAACTAAAGGGAATAATAGTTTTTTTTTTATATTTTTTAATACAGTGCTTTTCAGATAAAACTATCCACCTTAAATAACTTTTGAACCTCTAATTTTTTGGAAAAACGCAAGAACACGTCAATTAATATTTGAAGGGGGAGACATTATATCATATTTAAGGTTGCTGGGAATGCACCCTTTCAATCCCTGTATCAACCCTTCAGTTTTTTTAAATTACTTCCCCCTTTTTATTTTATATTTGGATTCTCCTTTTTGTGTTGATATAAAAAATGTATAATACCTTTGGCTTGAAGTGATTAGTTTATGAGATAGACAATTTTCCTGTTAATGATGTTTCAAAACCTCGTGGACCTCGTTAATACGCATGCCCGAAAAAATAAGTGGACCCTAAAAACATTTACTATTTTAATTTCATAGAAAATTAGGCGACAGGGTAGGATTTGCCCGTGCTAATGATGTCGAGTATTTCCAATAAACATGGCATATTATGCTTCTCTAATCTTAAACCTTCCAGTTAGTCATCGCATTTTTATTTTATCTCACATTGAAAGATGTAATAAAAATTTACGACTTCCCGTCTTCACTGCCGATAAGAATGCTGTGTAAAAATGTAAAAAAACCTTGAATTCCTGAGAAAACTATTCCATGAGATTTTTTACCTAATCACTTTTATAAAATACCGCAGAATAATGTTTAAGAGGATAGCTATTCGGACTTTTGAGACGGCTGCTCTGAAAAGTTCATTTGGTGTACATCCTTACCACTCTCTCAGTTGCGCAGCCATGACATTCTACGCCTCCCTATGTTTCTCTTTCCTTGAATCTTTCCCTGCATAATCAGTTGGAACAGGTGCATTTCTCTCCCGTGTAATATTTTTTAAAATTTTCTTATTTTAATTGTATTTAAAATTTCTACTTCTTTATTCATCCTTCTCAGAAAACTCTTTGTTTATGACGGGTTCTGTGCACGATATTTTCAGAATTCTTCTATACACTTACAGCTCGAATGATTCCAATTTTTTCATTGTGGTCACATTCTGTAAGATTCCATTCCATAAAATAAAGTCAAAAAAACATAGCACCTCGCCAACCTAACTCTTAGTTCCAATTTTAAATTCCTTGTACATAGCACTTTTTACATTTTGTTGAAATTTGCTCTAGCCTTTTCTATTCTGATTTTGATATCCTGAATGTAATCATTTGTGGAGTTACTCATTTTTCCCAGATATGCATATTTGTCCACTTGTTCGACGTTGGTTCCGAATATTAGAAGATTCTCGCTATTTCTTTGAGTTTGCGATATTTTTATAAATTTCGTCTTCTTGACATTGATTGTTAGACCATACTCTGCTATTCTGGTCACGTCTCTGAAGATCTTCAATATTTTCGGCTAAGATCACAGTGACGTTCGCATGTCTAATGTTAATAGGAACTCCATTTACCTTTATTCCAGTTGTTTGACCCTCAAGTGCGTTTTTCAGGATCTCTTCGGAGTAGGCATTAAAAAGAATTGGCGAATACTTTTGCTCGCTGTTTATAGTATAAATTTGATATGATCCTGAGGTCGTTGTAGTCAATCTTCTTTGATTTCAGGACATTCATTAATTGTTTATGTCGTACTTTATCGAATGCTTTATTATATATTCTATTATATATATGTATCAGTATATAAAGTGAAAAAAGGGCTGCACCCATTCCCAGGCCTTTGCGAAAACCAAATTGTGTATCATTAACGTCTGTCCATTTTGTGATACATTCGGTTGGTTTTCAAACAACTAAAAACAATGTTTTTAAATTAAATAAGACCAAACTAAAGTATCAGAAACTGCTAGAACAAGGTTTGGTGAATTAAAAAATAATTGTGAGTTTTTGAGCTTTCAATAATCATTTTCCGTTTTTTCTTTCAGTTTTAAATTGTTTATAAGTTGAAAACGATCAACTTTGGAGAAAAATTACAATTAACCTTTTATATTCAGATTGATCCAAGAAATGATAGAATATTAAAAACGATTTTTCACAAAACAAAAATTAAAATATTAAAGCTATTTAACTAACGTAAAAACTATTTCATCCCTGTCTCGCTACGATAACGCACTGAAGAGAATGCATGTTTTCAGCAATGCCTGATATTAATGTTTCGTTCGTAAATTGACGTCACTAAATGATTACGTCAGGTCCAGGACATTATGAATTATCTCTAACAAGGATAGTATCTCCCTCACCTTAAATGACTGTAACAAAATAGGTTGTAGCATAATTTTAACTTTTTAAATATTTAACCTTACTATTTGTAGTACCTTCAAAAACCAAGAAATAAAAAATTCACTTTTTAATAAAGTTTTATCAAAGGTTAAGGATAACTTTTCCGAAGATTTGGTTGTACTTCAACATGATGGAGCTTCTCCACACTTTGCTTTACCTGTCTGATAATTTTTAAACGAAACGTTTTCTTGGTCCTTGGATAGGGTAAAGTTGATAGATGATCGATTAACCACCTAGATCACCGGATTGAACACCCTAGACTTCTTCTATCAAGGTATTTAAAAACAAAAATTTATGCTACTCAACCAGAATCTCTAGATGATATACGACAAAGAATAGAGGATGAATGTCGACACTTAAAAGCAGACGTGCTAAGCAATGTAAGAGAAGAATTTCAAAATAGATTTATACTATTGTATGGAAGTGAAGGGCAGTCATTTTGAACAATTATTGTCAAAATTTTTAGCAGTGAAATGTTCATTCTAAATGTGTGTAATAAAATTGTTAAAAAATAATTTTTTTTTTCAATCCAATTTTCTTGCTTTTGTATCTATTTTTCTCATAAAGTAATCACTTCAAGCATCATGTATTATACATTTCTGAAATCAGTACAAAGAGGAGAATCCAAATATCGAATAAAAAAAGGGGGAAGTAATTTAAAAAAAATGAAGGGATGATACGAGGGGTGAAAGGGTGCATTTCCCAGCAACCTTAAATATGATATAATGTCTCCCCCTTCAAATATTAATTGACGTGTTTTTGCGTTTTTCCTAAAATTTAGAAGTTCAAAAGTTATTTAAGGTGGATAGTTTTATCTGAAAAGCACTGTATATGCTATTTTGTTTTTTTTTTTCTAAGAAAATCAAACATGAATCTTATTTCTTACCACATAAAGATAGGGAGATGGATTATCTCCACTCATAGTGCACATTTTCCTTTCCTATATATAAATATAATACATGTAAATATAAATAATAATGACTAAGAAGTAAAATTACTCGAGGGGTTTTTTATGGAGACCCCAACCATGGAAGCACTTGGTAAATCTTCTCGATTCCTTGTTCTTGAGCGTCAAAAATAATTTTCTGGCCTTTCAGGTTGCTTTGCGCGCGTGTGCTGAATATACACCTAGAAACGGGAGCAAATGAATTAGAAATGGAATTAGAAATTAATTAATAACAAATGATTAAGATTGTTCTGAAGCTATTTTCTTGTGGCATTTTAAATTAATTACTATTTAACCTGGAATAAGCCACAATTAAAGGTTAAAATACGTTTATTGACGTTTCAATTTCCACTTCGGAAATCGTTCTCAAAATACAAACAGTAAATTTACTTTAACGATTTCCGAAGTGGAAATTGAAACGTCAATAACGTATTTTAACCTTTAATTGTGACTTATTCCCAGTTAAATAGTAATTAAATGATTAAGAGTTTATTATCGTCAAATGAGCAGCGTGTACACGACATTTTAGTCCAATCCAACCACAAAGAAGATACGCCAAAAAAATAAAGAAATAATTATTTCAACAATAAAAATTGATGCAAACAAAAGGTAGTACTATAAAAATTGTCTATTTTATCTGTAAATTCTTTCCATCCAGTTTTTTCAGGTTGTGGATTGGTGATGAATAAATGAAACTTTACATTACATATTACGTCCAAATCTCCATTAAATATCTAAATGGAGATGAGATGTCAATGCGTATTATTGTGTTATTAAAAAACTCAAAAATATTACATAGTTTTTCTGGTTGTAAATTGTTAAACCAAAATTAGTAATACCCATTTTGTAATTTCTCATCAAGTCGATTTATGAATGAAGTACTTATCCCATTGTCCTATTGTACAGCAGAAATTGTGCCTTTAAAAAAATGGTATAGTAATCTCGGAATTTGGCTAGATAATTTAAACCGAAAATGACAAAATTCAGTTTGGTAACATTGTGTGAAGAACAAGTATTCTCGGATATTAACAGTACTGTATTATGACCGTAAATTAATTTTACTACGTTTTATCAATGCTGCTCCAATTAAAATAAAAAAGTTATGATTTTAAATAGAATGGCATATATATGCACATTTTCCCTGTTATATCAAAATTAAAAAATCTGGAGAGTGCTGTATCAAATGCTGTGTAAGTATCAAATATAAAAATATATTAAACAAGTATAAATATTACAGTAAATAAAGATCAATTTCTAATTACTTAAAACTCTATTCAGAATCACTGTCGCACATTATATCCCTGTCATCACTGGTATTGTCTACAGGTATAATTGAATTGGTTAATTTTGGCAAATATTTAGCGAATTCTAAAACAGCCGATGAACATTTAGGAGCCACATTTTCAATTATATTTCCTTATAGACTCCTTAGGTAGTCTAAGCACGGTATGTCCATTATTGAAAGCAAAGTCATCAACAACATATTTCTTTTGAAATTGCTTACTTTGAGTACCTAACTTCTTATATACAGCTGTTTTTGTAATATCTTTTCAAAATACAAATCTCCATGAAATAAAAATTATTGGATTTGGAATTTGTTCGATGTAGAGTTCGGTACTTTTTTAATTAATCTGGAATGGTATGAAGCGTTGTCCATGATAATTACGCTGTTTTTGTAAACATGTCCATGTAAACATAAAAGTGAATCATTCCATGTATTTGAATGTTGTCGTTTAATGGCATTAAAAGAATTGAACGGGCTCAATATTTGCACATGTAGCGTTCAATCTTCAATGCGGTTGAACGAGAAATGAATGTGTGAACACAGGAATGATTGAACAATTCACTTTTACAATCAGTAGTGCACACCACAGTGTCGAGGAAGGGCGTATCTGGACGACACATACCTAGGAATTATAAAACGGAGGCTTATAAAAACCGAAATTGTCGTGGAAATGCTATTCAATTGCTAATTTAAGATTTGAACATTGGTGGTATAAGCGAAGAAGACATAAGACAATTTGCAATTTCACGCTTGCGGCAAAGGGTCCCTTATCATAGTATTTTCTTTCTGAATTAACGGTGTAGCCATTGTAAGAAGTTCATCAAAATTTGCTTTATTCATGCGAAGGTGAATAAGGTATGCCTCTGAATCCTCTTCTGTCAGTTCTCTCAATGGACGGTTTGAAGCTCCCAAGGCTTGTTTACTTAATACCCCATGACCGCATCCACCAACGATGGCGTGTCCTTAGCTTCTTTTTCGAAAATTCTTTTATTAAATGATCACATATTAATGCAACTCCTATATACAAGTGTAACAATAACAGTAACAATACGTGTTAAAAATTTCACCTTATAAATACCGTATAAAATAGCATTGCTTTCATTTCTGCGCCATTCAACCAAAGTGATTCGCTTTAATATAAAAACGTCGTATATCTATGACTCACAAACTTTCCAATTCCGTAAAGTGATTAGCAGACTAAACTTATTCTTTCTTCTCGTCGTGCATACAAGCACTGTTACATTCATCGCTGTTATCAGTAATATGACTCAGGAATTAAAAGCTTAAATAACGTCTGCACACTCTGACTGAATTCCGTTTGTACTACACCCAACAATAATTAGGATATTGACACTATTATCATTTTTGTAACCATCACATCAATTTTTTAACCAGTGCTGTCTGCACTTCTGAAAATACTCTGAAATATTGCAGATAATTTTTCTATGTATTTTTTATTGGCATTATTAAAAACTCATTAACACTATTTTGCGCCTAGCCGTCGATTTTTAAATGTATATAGAAGTAATATTCGTTAATAATTCTCGGGAACAAGAAAATGAATCGGTTTTAAATTTTGATCACATATTAAGCATTTTACGACCCAACTTTGAGGTGAATTTCAAAGCTTCAGAACAATTTTTGCAATAGTTGGAAATAAATAAAAATTTTCGAAATTTTGCTCTTTTTTTGCAATTATCTAAACATAAATTTTTGCAAATCGCCATTTTCAAGCTTTTTGCATGTTCTAAAAGATGATTATGCAAATAAATCTCCAAAAAGTTATGTTCTTCAATGATAAATAAAAAATGCCAAAAAGTACATTTTTCCACACTAATTTGTTTATAAATAAAAATTACCAACAAATCTCACGCAGGAAATAGTTAGAATATGTTTGTATACGTATTATAGATAAAAAAAAACTTTCAGTAACCTAGCTTTTAGAGTGTCACGAGCAGGGTATATAGCATGATAGTGGCAAGGCAAGGTGGACAAAGGAGCTTATTCCCGATCTGAGACCGTGGTGGGAATGTAAGTTCAGGAAACTAGACTACTTCCTGACGCAGTTTCTGACCGGACATGGTAGTTTTGGCAGCTTCACAAATAGAATAGGCAAATCTGCCTCGGCAGACAGTACTGTTTGTGCAGTACCGGATGCTCACGCCCACATTTTTAACTGCCAGAAATGGGTAAGTGAGATGCGAGATTTCGAGAGGCGAATGGGTTCGGGCTGGATGAAAGAAATATTGTAAACATAATGTTGAGAGGAGAGAAAGAATGGAGTGAAGTACACTGTCTGATTTCTTCTTCTTCTTTTTTGGCAATCATCATGGCTATTCTGATCTTAGATGCTGCTGCTCTGAATTCCTCCTACACTTCTCTTGCCCTGGATTTTTCCTTGCATAATCAATTCAAGTAGGTTGTATCTCTCATTATGCATGACACGCCACAGGTATTGCAGCTTTCGTGTCTGATTTCTGGGGTGATGAAAAAAAAGGACCAGGAGGACAGAAGAGGAAATTAAGCCAGGGATCTAAAAATTTATAGTTAATATTGTTTATTAGTTTATGGCCTAACGTCTAAACATTTTCTGATTTACGGTAATAGGTATGGTTATATATAAATTTTTAGTTTTTTATTTTAGTTGTTTATTGAGTGGCAAAACCACCTCTCTGGAACAGTGGTTAAGGTTTTAGCCGAAACACAGTTAATCAGGCACTACCCTGGGGTCTTCTGGCTTAGTATCCCACTCGACCGAAAGATACCAGTGTATCTTGTTCCGTGACGTAGAGGTCTAAAAAAGATTTTCCCCACCGTTGCCTGTCAGAATTCAATGAAGAAAAAGAAAAACAGAAGATTTCTTATTTTAGTTTTTTTGCCTTATATTAATTTTTCGTATCCCCCTATTTGGGTGGGATTTCCCTAAGCACGTGGGACATAACACGGGCTGAAACTACTTCATCTACGTTCAACTAGAACCACACTACAACTACAGCAACAAGTTATTTTTTTTTCAACTACATGAAGCCATAAGTATCATTTTCACATTTTGTACAGCTTTAATATATGATAAGCAAATATGATTAGTTAATATAATCTTTATTTGTCCCTCCCATTTCTCTTTGTTCAAATTTGTATTTAAGCTAATATTTACCTACATTTGAGATACCAGAGCTATTCGAAGCCCAAAACAATTGGCTGCCAACGTTAGTTGGAGTTTTATTGTTACACATTGCATATTGTATAAATATGTGATGTCCATGGTCTATTCATAAATTCCAGATTCATATATCATAGATATGAATTACTCCAAATCATATTGGAAGGTAAAAAACAGGGCAAAAGATCAGTTGGAAGACGCCAGAACTCGTGACTGAAAGACCTGAGGAGATGGTTTGACTGCAGACAGAAATCTTTCGTGCAGCAGTTTCCAAAGCTATAATTGCCATTTGTATCGCCAACCTTCGAAAGGAGACGGCGCAATAAGAAGATGGTCTATTTCAATTACATTTTTTTTTTCGATGACTCTGTGGTTTTAAGACACGAAAATGGATTGAAACTTTTAACAATACGAAAGACAGTCACAGATCTACAAATTTCCAGTGGATGAAACAATCACCGTCCTTCGTCATTTTTCTGTATTTATTTTATTTATTCAGTTGTATAGGGACGAGGGACTTAATTTCGTGGTTTTATGTTCTATAAATAGAAAAGGGACGTAATGTAAAATATAAATAATATATTTTTGTGAGGATCCAAGATTTGCAAAATGTATATTTGTTTATTGAGCATTTACCTGGATCCAGATGCCTCATCATTACTGGTTGACTAGGATAATACGAGCTCAAGTCTGCTTCTGCTCTTACATCACATTTGACAATCAAAATAAACAATTCCATACCAGGCATATAAACTCCGATAACAATATACCTTTACAAAACAGAGACCGCCAAAGACTAGATTCTGTGGTATTTGATCATAATTATTAATGTTTTATATAAGCATATTTTAATTGTTTGGTGTAAGCGTTTGTTTGAATGGTGTCAAGCATAAGAATAACATCTTGAAAATTACAACTGATAATCAATTTAAGAAAATAATTTAATAAAAACTATCTATTACCTGTGCAGATTTTAAGGCTAATTTTATTTCCACTTCGCTACACTTGGCCCCTAACCATAAAAATATTTGTTCGCCGTTGTCGAGGATCATTATGTCATCATCTGCTAAATCATCCTAAAAATACAACATAGTTACATAATTTAGTTTTAAAAATAATGCCAGAGATAAAATTCGTACTAGGTACTACGATATTTTTAACAAATCAAGCCTTTCTACTCGAAACTTTTCATAACCTTCAACGGCCTTGGAGGCACAGTTACTATTTCTTTTATTAAGGATCTGACATGTCAATTACAAAATTACCAAGAGATACTAACATTATTACGCAAGTGGTAAATTAGTAAACGTACTGCTTGAAATGGAAAACCTTCAAATTGATGTTTTAGGTATAAGTGACGTACAGTGGCCAGGTTCAGGCAAAAAAATTACAAATAATGGAACCATGTATTATTCAGGTAACAATGAGGCCAATCGCAAAGGCCAAACACCATCGCTATGGTGTTGCTATCTTAGTTGCAATCTAGCAATATCTTAGTAGTCAATTACTCTGTGAGAAGTTTTACACCTTATTCTGATACGATCTTATCAATACAACTTCAGTCTAAAAAAGGTATAGTAAATTTTATTCAAGTTTATGCTCCTACGGCAGATACGACGATGACTATTTTAACGATTTAGAACAAGTCTTAAAATCAATGAATTCAACACATGACAATCAAGTAAGGAAAACAATGAATTACAATACTGCGCAAAGTCAATGCCAAATTGGCCATGGAAGAGTGGATGGATATGTGGGGGGGATATGGTCTACGAAATAGAAATGAATATGGTGACCGTTTGATACAATTTTGCCAGACGGAAGAATTTGTAATAGCTAATACACTTTTTAAGCTACCAAAAAGAATATTGTATACATGGAAATCTCCCAGTGATACAACGAATAGAATAATCCGAAATCAAATTGACTTTGCCCTCATTAGACAAAGATTTCGTAATTCTATACTGTCTGCCAAAACTTACCCTGGAGCAGACATCGGTTCAGACCATAACTCCATAGTAATCACATTACGAACCAAGTTGAAACTGGTTAAAAAACCCACACAAGGTAGAATTGATATTAAGAGATTAAGGGAACCACAAACTAAGGAACAAACTGTAAAAACCCTTACTGAAAATCTACGTAAAGACCAAGAACTGAATAAAAGAAGCTGTAACATTGATCAGAATCGGGAAAATATAAAAGTAGCAATAATTAAAACAGCAAATGAAAACTTACAACCAAAGAAAAGAAAACATAAAAACTGGATGACTGAAGAAATACTACTATTAATGAATGAAAAAAAAAAACATTCAAAACAAAAAATCCAATTCAATATAATGAAACTGATCGATTAATTAAAAAGAGAATAAAAGAAGCTAAGAAGAGATTGTTACATGAGCAGTGCCAAGAACTAGAAGAAATTGAGAAAAATATGACTTTTTAACATGCATAAAAGTATTAGAGAATTAACAGGAATGAGAAAAACACTTCAAACTAGGCAACTAAGAGATGAAAGTGGTGCACTTATAACAGATATGAACCAAAAAATGCAGAGATGGACACAATAATACTGAATCTATTGATCTTCTTATGGATCTATTCAATACCATATATAGAACAGGTATAATACCTAAAGAATGGTTCCAATCAACATTCATACTGCTTCCCAAAAAAGCCAATGCAAAGGAGTACAATGAACATCCCACCATACCCTTAATGAGTCATGTCTTGAAATTGTTTTTCAAAGTAATTCACAATAGAATACATAAGAAATTATATGAAGGCATAAGTAATACACAAATGGGTTTATATATATATATATATATATATATATATATATATATATATATATATATATATATAATATATATAATTTATAGCTGTATATAAGAACCTTTCGTAACTTACCTGACAAAAGTCTGAACACTTCTCCGAAACAATGAAATATCCTTTTTCGTTCGAACATCTAAACAGCCTCGTGTATTCCATAAATTCCGCATCTTGTTCGTACGGCTTCTTCCCGCCGAGACCCAACCAGAAGAAGTTATCAGGTTCTTCGCCTTCGGTTAAAACTTGCAGCGTCACCCACGGACTATTGAACATTTCCTCTGCGATTTCTTGAACGATTCTAGCCTCGTCTGGGTCGCTTTTAGATCCTATCCAGACGTAAACGATGCCTGAGTCGTCGTCTTGCTCAAATGGAACATTAAGAATGTAACTGAAAGGATAACATACACGTATAAAAACTTGTGAGCCACTCCGGGAACGATCCTATAATTTGATGAAACAAATATATGAAATACATGTTGGAATAATTACTTCTCCTTTACACCGAACACATTAATATTTTTGAACTTTTCATTCTAATTCCAAAATTTAGCCGTTTCGCTTCAAAGAAACATTTAAATACTTGACAATACTGCAGTAAATTTAACGTTTGGAGCTCGATCTCTTCCACTTGAAGGTCAGAGAAGAAATGAATTATGTAACAATATACAATTATGTAACATTGTCAACAGTACCCACTGTATTTTACTTGTACAGATATTGTGCATTAAAACACAAAATAAAAAAGCATTAATTTAGTAAAAGTATAAAAAGGTGATAATATGACAGCACTTTGTATTACAACATAAAAAATTACAAGAACAATTTAGTAGAGTAAAAGGGCAGATGATAATAATATATTGACAACAGAGAAAATAAACTATAAAAACTGTAACTGAGTGGGCACTAACAGACCCCAAAGATGACATGAGAATGTTGAAGATAAGAAATGTGGTACAGTAAAGGAAGAGAATGAATGGAAAAGAAAACTCAGCATTGGTTTAACAGACATAAACATTATTTCCCACCAAAAGCACTTCAGCTAAAATTTTGCAGAGTATATAATGTGTTACAATTTAAAATGTACTAACCAGAAGGCGGAGTTGAGCAAAGTAGCATCTGGTTTTATTTGTACTAATCTCGTATATAAGGCACTTCCATTTGATCTCAAATGATAAAATTCAACGTCTTTCTTATCGATCTTCTTGTTTCTCTTTCCCTGCTTTATAATAAACTTCCTTTTGAAATGAGCCATAAACTTCATGTTTTCTTGTTGTTGATATGTCCTGAGTACTTCTAATTTGTCTTGGAATAGTGCTTTAAACTTCTTTTGGAGCGTGAACGTGAAGGTGAGCCAGCCCATGTTAGAAGCATCTCTACCTTGCCAGAAGTAACAAACCCATTGGAAATCGTCCATTTCGTCTTCTGGCATACTTTCGTCAGTATCGTCCCAGTAACGGCAAAGGAACACGTAACAGTCTTGAGAATAGAACGTCCCTGAAGAACAAACACAAGTGTTAACGTTACGGTACGATTTTTGATCAAGAGTATAAACTAATTAAATTAGGATTTCATTTTTGTATCAACCTACCTAGTTCTTCTTCTGGCAATCGTATAAACTTCTTTCCTTCTAAAACAAAAGCCTCCATGGCTTCTAAATCCTCGTTCCATTCTTCCATAAGTTGTTGAGCTTCCGCTGATGGCATTGACGGTTGTCTGGGTGTGAACAGAGCGGTGAGGTCGGCCTTGGTCTCTTGTTTCTGTGCCCATTTGATTAGGTCGACACCGGTCTTCTTGACCGACTCGGCTGTTCGTGTGAAATCTACAGCTATCACCTCATCCCAACCGATGAATTTAGATTTAAATATCTGCAAAAACACAATTGTTATTACAGAGATAATATTGAACATTATTTCCTTAAACATTATATTAGATCAGCTGTTAACTAAGGGCTATTGGTGCATATAAAGAAATATAATAATGAGGATCTCAGTAATATACAAAATGTACTTAAAAATAAAAGAGGAATGGAAAAGTACCTTCTTCTTCTTATAGTGCCTAGCCATTTTTGAATATTGGCAACCATTCTGGCAATGATATTTATATTTGTCACTGCTCTGAATAATTCTGTTATGGATTTTGCAAATCAGGTTCTAAGTTCTGTAGTCAGGTTATTCGAAATCTCTTTTAACCTGCATTTTTTCTTACGCGATGAATTTTAATACTTTATATTTGGTTTATATCTTGATGGGAGACTAGAACGGGCGGATAGGAAATTATTCAAATAAAGGACTTGGATGTATGGGAAGTTACGGCGAAACAATATTAAACAGAAACGGAGTAAAAATGCTAAACTTTTACCAAATAAATCACTTCTTACCACTGATATGTAACTTTTTCTGGTATCAACCACTATAGGATAAATACACTTATGTAGCGGAAGAACGTAATACTAGAAGTATAATAGACTACATAGTATATACGCCGAAAATGAAAGGGAATATAAAGAAAATCTGGATTGAAAACTCAGCTGGAGTAGGAACACAGAACGCAGAACACAGAATGGTGATGGCAGAGATGAACTCAGAGACATAGAGTACACCAGAATCAACATAAATATATTGAGAAGAGAAAATGTAAGAAAACGATACCGGGACGAAACAGACAGATTATTTCTCGAAAAACAAGGAAATGGCCAAAGATGGAGTCTAGAACGAAGAGGAGAGATATTCAACGGAATAATTTGGAATACAGCTAAACAAGTATGTAGAATAAAGAAACTTAATAAAAAAAGCATTCGACTCAGTCAAAAGAAAAGATATATGGGAAAGACTAAAGAAGAAGCAAGTAAGTGAAGAACTGATAGAAGCAACAAAAAGTATGTATATACATGAAAACAACAAACCAAGTAAGAATGTCAAATATGCAGTCAGAACCATTTGAAACAACTCAAGGAGTTAGACAAGGAGGAAGTCTCACCCCAGTGCTATTCAGAAATGCAATAGATGAGATAGTGAAAGAATGTAAGAAAACGTTACTTAGATAAATGGAACCTAGAAGCAAGCAAATACAACTTAAACGTAAACAAAGAGAAGACTCAGATAATGAAAATATCAAGGAAACAAAGGACGGAAGATCAACTAGAAATAATGATAGACCAACAAAAAATAATACAGACAAATTCATACAAATATTTAGGAACAGTAATCAACAACAAAGGAGACATCGAGGACGATCTTAACAACAGAATAGAAAACACAGGAAAATTATTCCAAGCACTAAATAGAGAATTCCTTAATAACAAAGAAATATCAACAAAGACCAAGATGACAATATACAAAACAATATATAGACCTACAGTGACATATGGAGCAGAAAATTGGATACTAAACAAAAGGGATCAAAGCAGAATTCAGGCAGCAGAAATGAAATACCTCAGAAGAACGATCGAAGTAAAAAGAACTGATAGAATCAGAAATGAAGGAATAAGAGAAAGACTAAAAATCAAACCGATTCTCGAATCAATCAAGGAGAAAAAATTGGCATGGTTCGGACATCTAACCCAGATGGACAATAATAGACAAGTAAAAAGAGTGTGGGACGTCAAACCAATAGGGAAGAACAGAAGAGGAAGACCCATTAAAGAATGGAACAGTGACATCTCGCAGATACTGCAGAGTAAGGGTAAGACTTGGCAGGAAGCAACACAGATGGCATATAATAGGAAGGAATGGAGAAAGTTTGTCAAGAGCTAGGACACCTCAGAAGATTGTAAAATATTGTAATATAAAGAATTGTATTATAAACGCCCCAACACCGAAAGGTACAAATGGGTCTACTAATTAAGTAAGTAAAAAAATAAAAAAGAGTAAACAACAGGATGGTGAAATGAAAAAGTAAAAAAAGACAATAAAACAGAAGAAAAAGGCATGGAAACAATACCAAAAATCAAGAGAAGAACAAGATAGAAGGGAATACATAAGAAGTCGAGACAACACAAGTTAGAGAAGCGAAACGAACTAGCTGTAGAAGGTTTGGTGAAGAACTGGATCACAATTTCAGAAATAATAACAAAAGTTTCTGGGGTAAAATACAAAGTCTAAGAGGAGGAAGAAGAAAAGAAATACGAGGTTCAAAAAATGACAAAAACGAAATAAAAACATATAAATAAAAATATATTTAAAGATAAAGATATTTGGAGACAATACTTTACACAAAAATTCAATGAATACGAGGAATACCACCACAACGAAGAAAAAAAGGCTACACAAAAAGAGGAAGTTTTCGAACAAAACAGGGAAGAAATAAACATGGAAGAGTTGGGGGAAGGGTTATCAAGAATTAAGACCAGAAAAGTGGAAGGATCGGGCGACATCGATCCTGAAATGGTAAAGTGGATAATGAAGGAAGTGTTACGTAAAAATATGAGTCATATTAAAAACCTGTAAACATGTTGTTTATTCACTAATATATGTTCTAGATTCTACGACCCTTCGACTAGCTGGCAGAAATTTTAAATGTGATGCCCGTATATATAAATTATTGTAAGATAAATTAATATAAATAAACTGTAAATTAAGTTGTGTAAATATAGAACCTTTGACTGATAAATAATAAAGACAATAAATTAGAATTAATAAAGACTTAACAGAAAGTAAAAAATGGCTACTAGAAATCCTGAGAGAGGCATGGAGAGCAGAAAGCATACCAAAAGACTGAGAAAAGAATTGAATGGTACCTATTCACAAAAAGTGGAAGAAATAGACTGTGAAAATTTTTTTGTCATCTGTAACTTTCAAACTCTATAAAAAAAATAATAGAAAAAAGACTACGCGTAGCAGTAGTGGACAAATTGGACGAGAAACACAAACTGCATTCAGACAGGAAAGGGGGACAACAGATAATATATTCATCTTAAGAAACATAATAGAAAAAATAAACGAAAAAGAAGATTTAAATTTTACATTTAAAAGCGGCATGTGATACAATAGATAGAAGGAGAGTATGGAAAATCCTAGAAAAACGATAAGTGCCAAGGAAAATAATAAACGTAATTAAAAAAACTTGTGACAAAGTCACTGGCATGGTACAAATCAATGGTACAAGATAAAATGAATTCACTATTAAAAAGGGGATACAGCAAGGTGACAGCATTAGCCAAGTACTATTCATCCCAGTAATGGATGAAATTCTGAAAAATACTAAAAGGACCACAAACCATTTGCAAACTATGGTGGGATATTTAAACAACATTGGTAAGATTTGACAGACTTCTATATTGCAGATGACATTGTACTAATTGCAGACACTGGAGGAAAGATTTAAGAATTGATAAATATATGGGTTAGAGAATTAGAAAAATAAAGAATGAAAATAAACATCAAGAAAACGAAAAGTATGATAGTTAAACAAAAGAAAGTTGATGGGCGAAACCATTTTCCTCTTTACTGTAAGGAAAACTAAATTGAGACAGTATCAACTTTTGAATATTTAGGAGTAGTGATATCAGAAGACGGAACAATCGATCATGAGATATCAAACAGAGTGAAGAAAGCAAACACAATTTACTATGCACTCAACAACACGATTTTTGGAAAACGAGAAATAAAGCTCAAGGTGTATAATGCAGTGACAATACCAACACTGTTGTATGCAAGCGAGACATGGATCGATAATACCAAAATGGGAGCGCGATGAACGCAGCGGAAATGAAATAACTAAAATAAATAGCTGATGTCACAAAAATGGATCATATCAGAAATCATTACATAAGAAGCGAATTGAAGCAGGAACCGATAGGATCTAAAATCAAAAGAAGAGCAATAAACTTGTTTGAACACTACTGGTTTGATTATTAGGATAGAACAGAGTAGACTAGTAAGAAGATTAATGGAATCCAAGAAATACGGGAAGAAAAGACAGGGTAGACCAAGGATGGGATAGTTTGAACAATCACTGAAAATAGGCAGAGAAAAAGGAAAATCATTTCAACAAATGAAAGAACTAGCTAGAGACCGGAAGGGATGGAGAAGGTGGGTAAAAGAAATATGAAAATATCACTCCGACGCCCAAACGCATTAGGGAGTTTCCGAGAAAGAATAAGATATTTGGTTTCATTTCTCATTCATTATCATCAAGGCTTTTCATTCCTGATGGAATGTTGGTCGCTCTTAGTTAGAACTCTTTGATTAGCTTATTGCAGTAAATCACTCAGAATTATTTTTGTGTATTGTCAAAGTTTGTTGTATGTCTTGGCTTTCGTTACAATTTTCTTTTATTTATTTCTCACTTCTCACATTTCTAAAAGTGAGTTTCTCACTTTTATGATTTTGATATCTCTTATGACCTGGTCCTCCCATCTTTCTATAGGTCTCCCCCTTGGTATTTCAGTTTTTGGCTTCCATCTGGTGATTTTTTTAATCAGTAGATCATTTTTTTATTTTGGTAAACTAGCATTATTTCATTGACTGGCACAGTGAATAGAAGGCTTATAATTTTGTGTATGTGTTTATTTACATATGCATTCTGCTGACAGTACATTTGATTTTATAGGTTGATTTTGCTCCTTTTACTTAATTTTATTGTAACATAACGATCTATACTCACTGGTTTGTTGATTAACGTAATTATATAAATATAGTATACTGCATAACTATAATGTAGATTAAATAAAACCCTCACATGGTTCAGTGGTTTGTATGATACATTTTTATGCATATGACATTATACTTTATGATAAACATGGTGTGTTAAAAAATTTTCCAAGAAAAAGACCTACTCTTAAAGAAAGTGCTGTTCCAAAATATTTTCAGGAATTCCAAAATATTTGACAAAGTAAGAAGATGGTGCTAAAAGGAGTAGAGGCACAGAACGAAAAGGCGAGAGTTAATTATAGAGAAGAGGAATAGCTTCAAAGTGATGTTTTAGTAGATTTTTATAGTATTAGTAAAAATTTTGTTAAGTTATGGTGAAAAGGAAATGGCATCAAGAAGAGAATCACATTTATTTTTATCTAGTGAAATTTGAGTGTGATCAGTCATAAATCAGGTGTAGTATTATAATAAAACAAACAATGAAAATTCAAGTATATATTAGCATTACTATTAGAAGATGAATTAAGTTAGATATTAGCAACAATTTCAGAACTAACCCGTTGGTAACAAGTTGAAAATGTTTTATCTGGATGTTCCGAAGAAGAAAAATAATTGGGATAAGGGCCTTTTCAATTTTTTTACATTCTTCACAGTATGGTCAAATTAAATTAATTTAATGGAAATACATAAAAAAATAATTGATTCTGCAATACAGTATCTAGCTGAATGTGAGCTTCGAAAAAAATTATCGTGTAACAATTGCATAAATGTTATTGTTAATTATTAGAGTAAAGGTCCAGAAAAACAAAGCTATTTTGAACTTTTAAATAGGGGTCTATTTCATCAATGTTTACTGTGCGAATAACTACCATAGTTCATAATACATTGCAAGAACTAATTTCTAAAGACTTAAAAAAACAATTTTTAAAATTGAAATATAAGTTAATATTAATTAAAATCGTAAAGAAATATTTAAATCACAATAAAGATACAATTTATTTTAAAGATATGTTCATGTAATAACCTCAAACTGAACTTATTGATTAAATTTTAGCTAATATTGTTATTAATAATTATACTAAATCAACTCAGAATAAAATACAATCCAACAAAAGTCAAATCAAAAACAGTGTTAAAAAGAACAGTGCACAGAAAAAGAAAAATATCTAAATTTCAAAAACATTTCTATCGGGAGTTTAATATTGATTGCTTACCTTTTATTTTAAAATATTTTTTATATTACATTTATAATCAGATTATTTTGTGTACTAACTGTCCGCTTATTACTGAATTGTTAATATGTTTTATAATAAGACTACATATTTAGTTCTTTAAAATTTAAAAGCTTAATTTTTTTCTTTAAAAATTTTGTTTAATGATTTTAGTATTTTTCAAAATTTGTTTAATATAATATATAATAAATTCACTAACCTGACTCTCAGTTCCTTCTCTTACTCTCGTTACCCGAGCATACTCAGGTCTGTCGATCATATTAAATAATTCCTCAGATAATTTCACAGCTGCTGCATTTACAAGCCGTGTAGATTTTTTGCCGATCCTAAAAGCATCGGAAACGTCTATTAAAAAAAGATGGTACAGTAGACTAGCGCGAAGCTTCATACTATGTTTTTCTGTATTTTTAAAATTTAAATAATATTTTTAAAGTTGAAGAAAGTAATTTTATTATTTATTTATTATTAAAGAAGAAAAAACAAAAAAAAAAACACTCACTAAAATATACAGAGTGGTGAATCGTCAAAAGGTGCCGTAGGAAACTTAATAGAAAATTGTAATTTGTTGAAATCCTGCTTCGACAATTATTTTATACGAAATATAAGTCATATATAAGTCATACAAAATATATATCTTACGTCATAAAAAACTATTTGTAGAGGACTGAAATCTGTATTAAACACATTACACTAATACATTTTTCAGGCCACCCCTAAAAGTAACGCCACACGTGTTGCAAGAATGTGTATGACATGTTGCGTTTGATCATGTTGATGTAAGATGTTTGACAATATTTGGCAATTTTTAATATTTTTATTTTATGATTAAATTATATACAACAAATTTTACTAAATATGTACTACTTCTACTACTACTACTGAACAATAAACATTACTTTGTAAACAAAAAATTATATTGTTAACAAACTATTAAAGTTATTGAAGTGTACTCAGTTGATGAAAAATCGCAATAATGTTATATTCAGGGCGATCATTTCCAGATCTTTATTTAACGTAAGATATTCATTTCCAGGTTATACAACAATTCAACAAATTTCAATATAGTTTCACTCTGATCCTTATTCCTAAAAATAATTTATTATGATTTCTAAACATAAAACTATAAAACATGTTCAAACAGTCTGCCATTTTGTACTAAACAGTATCCCAATCGATTGTAAAATTCTTATCTAACATTAGCCAGTCGTCTCTCAGCATCTACTTCTATTAGTTCTTGATGACATTGAAATTTATACGAACGGAATTGATTCATTTTCAAAATTTTTAATGTCGTGGGATTATGAATATTAAACTGGTCTGCAATGGGCCGAAAACTTATTCTAGGATTTTCTACTACTACTAATAATAACAATATTGTTTGTACAGGCACAATTTGAAATCACGTTTCCAGTATTTTCAAAATTTTATCTTACGCTAAATAAAAGAACTAACACTTCGACCACTATTGCCTGAAAAAGACATTTTTATTACCGCTACTTTTTCCACAACTGATTTTTAATCAACTTTTTTTTGTTTTTTTAAACAATAAATCATAAAATAAAAGTTTTACACATTCTTGCAATGCGTTTGGCCTGACTTTTAGGAGCGGCCTGAAAAATGTATTATATTTTTGCAAAATTTTGGAATACGTTTAATTTGTAGAAGAATTTTACCATTTGTTTTTAATGCAGATTTCAGTCCTCTACAAGTAGTTTGCCATGACTCTTGGTGTAAAATAATTGGGGAAGCACTAATTCAACTAATACTTCTTCACAAGACAACAATAATTCAGACATTTCAAATAAACTTACAGAATTTCTCAACGAATTTAAAAAATATGTTTGCACAATTGATAAACCAAAACAGCATGATACTAAGCATGCTTACAACAGTGATAAATAGAACGTCGTAATGGCTAACTCACTTAGAATAGTAGAGTGGAACGCAAATGGTCTAGCAAACCATGTGCAAGAAATTATACTATTTCTAAAATTAAACAAAATAAGACATCCTACTTATATCTGAGAGTCACACAACTGAAAGGTCTTTTATAAAAATTCCACACTACTCTGTCTATTACGCAAACCATCCAGACGGAACAGCCCATGCTGGTCAATAATTCGTACATCAATAAAACACTACGAACTAGCTCCATATATCACCAACAAAATTCAGAGTACTATCATAAAAGTACATGCGCTCACCTTCCCATTAACAATAGCTTCTATCTACAGCCCACCACGCTATACCATCAATCTGGAGGAATACAGAGAGTTTTTTGAACAACTTGGCTCGCATTTTCTAGTGGCAGGGGACTGGAATGCAAAACATACAACCTGGGAGCAAGACTGATATCTCCAAAAGGCAGAAATCTATTAAAGATCATACAAAATAATAACCTGAAATACCTAACAACTGGTACCCCTACATACTGGCCCACTGATAACAACAAAATTCCTGATCTGTTAGACTTTGTTATAACTAAGGGAATACCTAAAATACACAGCGACATCACCCCCAGTTTTGATCTACATTCGGACCACAGTTCCATCTTGATTACCTTAAGTACCAATATAATTTGGAAAACTCTTGCACCAAGGCTATGTTCCAGTAACACGAATTGGGTTCAATTCAAAGAAGAAATCAATGAAAAAATATCTCTTGACATTCGACTCAAACACAAAAACGATATTGAAGAAGCTGTAAAATATCTAACAGAACTAATACAACAGGGCGCTTGGAAAGCTACTCTTGTAAAGGAAAAAACCATTGATGAAAGGTATAGTATACCCTTACACATTAGAACACTAGTAGAAGAGAGAAGAGGAGCCCAACGCAAATGGCAAAGAACAAGAAACGTGATAGATAAAACAAATCTAAACAGGCTCACACACAGACTTCATTCCGCTATCCAAACAGCCAAAAACGAATCTTTTGAAAGATATGTCACAAACCTTTCTCTTGACGACAACTCTCTTTGGAAAGCCACAAATAAACTCAAAAAGCCGGTAGTAATGAAATAACCAATTAGGAAAAATAATGGAACCTGGGCTCGATCAGATATAGAAAAATCCAACAGATTTGCAGAACATCTATCAACTGTCTTCTCCACCCCACAGGCCAACGATATAAACGACGAGAAAATTAGAGATTTCCTTAATGCACCCTGTCAACTATCATTACCACTAAAATACTTCTCACCAAACGAAGTCCGTAACCAAATTAACGTGCTTAACTCTCATAAAGCTCCAGGATTTAACCTTATAACTGGCGATATCTTAAAAAAACTCCCAAGAAAAGGTGTCGTCTTAATAACTATTATTTTTAATAGCCTCCTGAGACTATGCTATTTTCCAGTGCAATGGAAGTATGCACAAATTATAACAATACCTAAACCTGGCAAACCTCTAACTGAAGCCAGTTCGTACAGACCAATAAGTCTCCTTCCAACTTTATCAAAAGTCTTCGAAAGGTTAATCCTTAACAGAATAGAAACAATAATACCTATAGAAAACCTTATCCCAGATCATCAGTTTGGTTTTCGCTCAAATCACTCAACCATACAACAGTGACATAGATTAGTCAACAAAATAAAAGAGAGCCTAGAAGGGAAACAAATCTGCCTATCAGCATTCCTCGATATACAGCAAGCATTTGATAGAGTGTGGCACGAAAGTCTTCTCTTTAAAATAAAACTCAGCTAACTACCAAATCTAACTCCTCCTTAAATCAAACTTGTCCGACACATACTTCCAAGTTAAATACGAAGGTGCTCTATCCAACTACCACCAAATAAAATTTGGAGTACCTCAAGGCAGTGTACTTGGCCCATTCCTTTACCAAATCTTCACTGCTGATATTCCTATTAGAGAAAATACACTAATGGCAACATTTGCGGATGACACTGGTATACTAGCATCAGATATCAATGAAATATTAGCATTTAACAAATTGCAAAATCATCTCAATAAACTAGAAGACTGGCTTAAATGCTGAAAAATAAATGTCAATACAAACAAGTCTTGTCAAGTAAATTTCACAAATCAAAGAATTAGATGTCCACAACTACACCTAAATAATTCAACTATTCAGCCAATAAAAGCAGAAGTAAGGTAGCTGGGCCTTCATCTAGAGGACAAACTTATTTGGAAATCACATATTGCAGCCAAACGACGACACCTCGACCTAAAAGTTAAAAATATGAGCTGGCTCATCGACAGAAGATCGCAACTTTCATTAGAAAATAAACTAACCATCTACAAAACAATACTCAAACCAGTGTGGTCACAGCAGGGGCTGTAGCAAACCATCCAACACCAAAATACTGCAGACATTCCAGTCATCAAAAACTATTCGTATGTTAGCTAAAGCCCCATGGTATGTGTCAAACCAAACCCCGCATGCAGACCTCAACATCCCCTTCATCAATGATGTGATTGCTGACCACTCCAGAAGATACATGAATCGTAGCGCAGACCATCCAAACCATCTCATAGACGAATTATTCAACCCCCCACTGGTCGACATACGTCTAAAAAGACTTTGGCCAGAAGACCTAGCTGCTAGGTAAATTCCAGAGAGTTGTCAATGGATGACACCTGCCACAAGCCAGGAACATACATCATATTTACTTATTACTGTATTGAAGTAGATTGTAAATTAGCAATAAATAAATAAAAAAAATTCAACAATTTAGAATTTCCCATTGAGTTTCCTATGGCCAGTTTGACGATTCACCAGCCTGTATATGTACCTGTATATATAGCTGTATATTATTTGTGAATTACACTTGTAAATCATTATTATCAAATAGGTTATTAATATTCAAAAATGTAATAAGAGTAAGAGATATATTATAAGAGTAATTTCAGTTTGGTTAATGGATTATGTCTACAGTCAAAGGAAACCGACAGCATACACATATTAATTATTATATTTTAAACAAATTATATATTTTTTAAAATAATTCAATAAATTATTATGTTCGCTCCTAACGCCACCAGCTAACGTATTAACAAGCATACTTTGTTTACTTCTGACAGACTGTCAAATTTAACGAAATATTAAATTAATAAAATATAAATAAAAAGAATTTGACAGTAAATTTAATTATTATATAAAATTATTTTAAAACGAGAAGTGTTACAAAAATTTAAACAGATGATTCAATATTGTTAGTAATTGGATGACATTTATGACTTTTAAATTTTGACAATCGGTACAAATTCAATCTTTCATTGACATATATTCTTTTAAGTTTTTACTTCTCATTTAATGTTTGTATTTTGTTAGTTCTTTTTCATGCAGTTTTTAATTTAAACCTGCTTAGAGTAAATATATGATGACTAGAAACGAATTGATCGAGAGTAGTGAATCGATGTCAAGAAACGCTATTTCGTGACGCTACCAGTAACGCCTTCTCGTGGTGCTAGTTCCGTAACGCTCGCCTCAGCATTTTACTACAGAGAAAAACACAACACCAGTATGGAGCTTTCGCTCTAATAATTACAAAAACTTACCATACAAATACGTCCAAGTAACAGTCTAATATGTATACATTTTTGCTGATTAACGCTGTATTGACTAGTTTTCCTTGTTGGAGTTCCACTTGAGGTAATTCTAAATAACCCATTCCTAATTGCACTTGATAAAGTCGTGGGGAAACTGATACGAAATCCTGGTCCACGTGTTCCTATAAAATAAATTCATTTATTTAATCTAATTATAGTACATTTGCATCATATTGATAGCACATTACGTATGCAAATCCCTAAACTGTTGATACGGGTGACTCAATGAAAAATAGATATTTGTCAACAAGTCTTCAGAAGTATATAGGAAAACAATTTTAAATTGAGTATGACCACCAGGTATAAAGGTTGAAGCAGAATAGAATACAATAGTTTTGAGGGTTACTAATCCCTAAATAAAGTGCCAGTGTCGGAGTGATGGAGATTAACAGGTACTAATGAATTTGCAAGAAATGTAAGATGTCTATTTTATTGGTTATATATAAAATAATTTGTGGCCCTAACAGGGGCCGATTTGTAAAAAAATGAATATTATTTTAATCAAATTCCATTTCAGATTCACTGCTTTCTTCAGAATCTAAGGAATCTTCAACTCCAATGTTAATTATTACCGGTTCCAGCATTGCATCAGTCATATTATCCAAATTCCACATTTTCTTTTCTTCTTTGTGAACATGACTAACAGCATTTTTCCAATTTTCTGGAGTTACTTTTGATAAGAAATGTTCTAATAATTGTTGTAAGTCTTCTAATTTAAAAGTGTTGTTGTTGCGTCCGACTTCACCCTGAACTTGAGACTATATATTTTCTATCGGATTCAGATCACAGTGGTATGGGGGTAAACGTAAAATAATTACATCACGGTTTAATGCCATTTTTTATAAGCTGCTTTACGTTACCTTACAATAGGTAATAATTCCTTTTTTGTCGAATTCTCCTTGTACTCAATTGCGTGTTTATCCAAACATTCGATTATCTTTCATTTTTTCCATGCCGTTGTTGGCAATTTTTCTGCTTGTCTTGAATGGTAACTAGCATTATCCATGACTATGACAGAATTTTTGGAATTAAATCCAACATTTGCTCAAAATATTCTTCAAAAACGTCAGCAGTATTTCCTCGTGGTAATCTGTGGTTGATCTTGAGGCAAAACTTAATAATCCACCATTGACAAAACCGTATTCGTTTCCAATATGGGTTATTATGAGTCTGCGTCCGTTTCCAACGGAAATATTGTTTATTCCAGTAGATACACCTTCGATGAATGCCTGACGGGAACTTTTCACATTTGTATCAACCCATAGATATGGTACAGTATGACCTTCAGTTAGCCAAGTCTCGTCCAAATAAAAAATTGTTTTCCCTTCTTCTCGGTACTTTTTAATAGTTCTTAGATAATCTTGTCTCCAACATACAATGTAATCTTTTTCAATTAAACGGATTTTCTTCTATTCTTTTGCCAACGAAATCCCATCTCTCTCAATAGTCCCCATAATTTCTTGTTGCCTATGATTGGTAACTCTTCGTTTTCTCTAATTAATGTTTGGATTTTGTCCAATGTTGGAAATTCTTTCTTAAAAAATAATGGCTGGACGCTGCGTCTTATCATGTTTTTATGTATTCCTTCAATTTCCAAGGGTTTACTCCCTCCACTCTTCTTGGGAGATGAAACAGTTCCTCCTTTTCTTTCTTTTAGGAATCTATAAATTGTTGCTTCTCCAACCCCTGTCATATTTGAACACATGTTAACGATTTCACGAACATTACTTAAAGGGCGTTGATGTACATTTAATATTATACTTCGATATAACATCGTGTACATTTAATATTATACTTTTCTCTCTTAGACTGAAGGCACGTTTAAAACTACACTTAACCGGGGTAAAACCTGTTGTCGACGTCATTTTTAAATGCAAATAACAAAATATCGACACCAAAAACGTAGGTAGGCAAGACATGAACAATGTACATCTACAAACTAAATGGAAGATGCAAACAATTTCTAATTTATATTATTGGCATAAGCTGTAATGGGGCATAAAAACTACTTAAACTATATTAGTGAAGCCTTATCAGTAATTCCAGGTAATCGTTCAAAGAAGGTATTCTTTTTTTGTCAGGCGATAACTTGTATAGAAAACAATAATCCCCTTTAAATTACTGTTTACATTAATTTATTTCATGAAACATTGAATTCTCTCGTTAATCACCCGTGTATAATTAACAATAATCGTGTGGCATATATACCGACGTTTTTTACGCACAAAAAGGGTATAGTGAGATTAGTGGACACTTATTTTACAGAAGATTTTTTAAAAGATAATGAATTGTTGACGGCATCTTAAAATATTATTTTTTTTTATTTATTTCAAAACAAGTATAGGGTGACGCCTATGGTTTTTTGGCCTGTTGAGGATTTGCATACATAATGTGCTATCAATATAATGGAAAAGGACTATAGAACTAAATTGGATAATATTATTTTGATTGTAGATATAAAGGAATGTTTTGAATAATAAACTCGCTTTTTACCAATAATCAGAGCATTTTTTCACGTTGCTGTCATAAAATAAGGTTAATCTAAAAAAGAACCAACAAAATCTGAATTATGAATACTATAAGGGTTTTTAGTGTTTTAACAAGTTACTGCACATTATGTTCTGTTCTATCTGTGTGTAAAATCTGTATATCTCTTACAATATTACCCAACAATTGAAAACATCTGTTAAGCAGATACAGTTAAGGGGGAATCTATCGGGTTACTTTTCCAAGTGCTTAATGTATACTGATAATGTAGAGTTTGAATTGACCATCCGTCGTTACATTCATAACACTTTTAATGAAGATTAAAAATTGAAAAGTACAAAAAACACATACCTGAGGTGGTTCTTCGGGTGGCGAACCATCTTCAATACCCAAATTAATCCAGAAGTCCTTACTTTCACTGCCAGCCGCTTCGGTTAAAATTTCGGCTTTATTTTTCCTTTCGTTCTTATTGATCTTCTCGCACATGAGTCTTGATTTTGATTTTAGTGTATTTTTAGCCTTTTTTCCGTTCCACACGAAGATATTTACGCCAGTATCCAAAATGAAAACGTACCGAGGATCCAAAGAATCGACATTGACAGAAACTGGCTCCAAATGGATAGAAGGGCCTGCTGGGTGGACTCTATAAAGTCTTGTTTCAAAGTTCTGCATGAAAATAAATATGTTACAATAATAACACTACCAAATAGTAGAATTATTACTTTATAAATAAAAAATACTCTTACATCTAAATAAATTGCTCGATAGCTAATATGGAAGTTTTTAAACCCGTTTTCCCACCATAATAAATAGCAGATTACACAGAAAAAATTAAACCAATTGGGAATAATATAATCGTCTTGTCAAGTGTACTGAACAAAACTTTTGAAAAAGAGATGAAGACAATCGTATTTCTTAATCACGCTTGATTAATAAAAAACCACCACCCTTGTATTAGAGTGATTTAGAAATCTGCTGCTTATAATAGTAGGTACTAACTAATATCTCAACAACTTACCATATCCTCAACAGTATAAAATCCACTACAGGTTCTACCGCCTTCGATATATGTAATAGGAGAATCGAACAGTCCCAGAAATTCATCAGATTCATCACCTTGTTCTTCTCTAATCGTTCGGCATTGTGCTCTTAAATAGTTTCTTAAGTTGACAGCGTGAATCGCAGAACAAGCCTTTTTATCAAGCTTAAATATAAAAAAAATTGGTGCAAATTCTGTAACCTATTTAAGTCCGGTATATCTATTACTACAGGAGATACCAAATATAGTTAACTTATTAAAAAAAAATAGGAGATAAGCTTCACATTTTAAAATTAGTTACAAAAATATACAGGGTCTTCCATAACACTGTACCGCATCAATGATATGTTTTTTTTTAATGAAACGCCCTGTAATTTATTTTAAATTAAAATCCGCTTCTCTTACTCGTTGCAAGAATATAAAGTTGTTTGTGTTATACAGGATATTTAACAAGTTATAAACAAATTTCAATAAAAATCGTGGGAAGTTCAACACCCTTTGTAATCGGAAATGTGTATAAAAGCAACGACCTGATGTAGGTATAGTTTTTAAATGATTGTCAAAATTTATAAAACTAAATGATTTTGCTAATATTTTTTAAATCTAATACAGGGCAAGTCAAAACAATTCATTATTTGACAGTATTTTGATATGCTGACAAAAATTTCTTTTTTAAGTATTGAAACTTAGCTTACCGAAGCCTTTTCTCCTATCCAGAAATAAATCTGCCACGAAAGCGATTGGTTTTCGTCAAAAAATGTCTTTAATACGATATAACAATCTCCTTCATAAAATTTACCATACGCTACTTCATCTATTCTGTTCGGAAGAAAATTTTCTATTTCCCATATTGTTAAACCAGGAAACTGGCCGGCGTCCTCTTCGAAAAATTCTGAATAGTCCAGTGGAGGTTTTTCTAAAGATTCATCCCAGCGTTTTGGCCTAAAACGGACAAAAATTCTTTACTCTGTCAATATATTGTTTTAAAGCACTCAGAATTATAATTTTAGTTGTTGATAATATATAAAAGTGTGAAACAAACAATTTTATTGAATTTGGTACCATAGTTACGATTCTGACTTACTTTACTGATTCAGTCTTAGGATCTTCAAGCAAATTTTGTTCCTTTTCTTTCGCTATGTCTTTCATACCCTAAAATATTATATCGACACATAAAAATCATAATTTTAAATGATACACAGTGGCATATGCATAACCAAATGTATATTTGGAGTTTAAAATATCAAAATTAAAATTATTTGCAAAAAAAAGTTGTACTAAAATAAATTTTTAATTATTAAACCAGTACCTTCAAAATTTTTGCTTGATCTTGGTCAGCTTCTTCGTGATCCCTACGTCCTTTTCTCAGTCTTAATTTCCGTGCTATTGGATCTTTACTGGGATCTGAAATATAATATGCATATAAGCTCAGCTGTAACAAAAACAATAAAACGAATACTCAAGTATATGTCAATGAGCCTCTCACACAAGATGGCAGAAATTTGTTTAATCTAGCACACAAAACTAAAAAACAAAAAAGTTAAAAATATCTATGGGCTAGAAATGGGAAAATATATATGAGAAAATAGGATGAAAGTCTTCTTATACGAATAACATGTGAGGAAACAATAGCTGGATTACTATAAAATATGAAACAAAATGGCTATGAATCAGAATATTCAAGTTTCTTTGATAGTTTAGAAGAGTTTTATAACATAGGTGGACTAAGCGCTAAATTTAAAATCCTGTATATGAATAGGAGAAATAATCTTAGCAAAATTGAAATATTTTGTAATCAAATCAATATAATTGTTGGCCATGATCATGTAACTTTAACATAAATGAATTTTATTCTATTCTAGAAAACAAATTTGACATGTTAAATGAGCTGAACAAAAACTGTTATGTGTGATATTAATGCTCTATGCTCTCTTACTATGCCCCTAAAATATCTTTATAATTTATCTCTTATGACTGGTGAGTTCCCTCCTTTCTGGAAGAACAGTTATATTGTACCCATTTTTAAGTCAGGTAAAAGGAAAGATATTGAAAAATATCCGAGGAATTTGTATACAGTCAGCAATCCCAAAACTTCTCGACAAACTAGTGACTTATCTCACTTATCAAAACTAACAAATAATATAATAATACCCCAACAGCATGGCTTTCAAATGAGTAGGAGTACAGTGTCAAACTTGTTGGTCTACCAAGATGATATATTGGGTGTCTTTGAGAGGAAGTACCAGGTGGACAGCATCTATACTGACTTCTCAAAGGCATTTGATAAAGTAAATCATCGTTATTTAATCAGTAAATTAGAAGCCATTGGTATAGCTTGCAAATGGCTTGATTGGTATGATAGTTTTCTTGCAGGTAACACCCAGAGCATTAAGATAAATGGTGTGTTGTCTCAATCTATTGACATCCTCTCTGGAGTACCACAGGGGTCACATTGTGGTCCTCTACTGTTTGTCCTCTTTGTTAACGATGTTGTGAAAGTCATTAAGTATTCAAAATTTCTCAACTTTGCTGATAATAAAAAAATTTATAGTCATTACTTGTCAGTAGTATGATCAAATTCAGCTACAAGAGGATATCAGCAGATTTAGTGATTGGTGCAAACTAAATGAATTAATATTGAACATTGATAAGTGGTGTGTTATTACTTTTCACAGGAAACAAACAATTTTAAATTACGATTATAGCATTGATAACTCTCAGCTGTCTAGACATGACTGTGTTAAGGATTTAGGGGTTTATTTTGATTGTAAATTAGCATTTCATAAGCATCTAGAGGTCACAGTAAACAGTACATTTAAACAATTAGGGTTTATAACTAGAAACACTTCTCAATTTTCATGTTTTGTTTTACCAATTTTTTTTAATAGTCTCATTTGTTCCAAACTTGAATATGCAATAGTTGTATGGGAACCTTACTATCAAACATCTATAGACAAGCTTGATCATGTTCAGCATAAATTTGGTAAACACTATCATTACCGTAGTGCTTTTTATGACCTCTCTGTCCCATACAGTTATAGTATGATAGCTGATCACTTGAAAATGGTTTCTATGAATCAGCGAAAAGATTATTTTTGCCTAATATTCCTTTACAAAATTGTTAATAATTTGATAAATTGCCCTGAACTTTTAAATCGATTAGGTCTTAACACTCTTCATGGAACTAGGCATACTTCATTATTTCATCTACCATTTCATCAATTTAATTAGGAATACTTCAAGCCTCTTACTCATATGATGAGACTATATAATAGGTACCAAAGTGATCTGGACTTATTTTTCCAGTCCTTAGAACAATTTAAAAATGTGATAAAGATACTGCTATTTGTGTGATATTAGTTTATATTCAAGTTAATTATTAGTTTTTGTTAAACTTACTAATTATTTTCCAATGTTATGCTTAGTTTGTAAAATTTTATATATTATATATTGTTTCAATGTAAATGGTATATCCGTTAATAAATAAATAAAAATAAATTAATGTGGACTATCTATCAAGTACCAAACCAAGAAACGACCTTGAAGTGCTTCTAATGTTAACGCTGTAGCATTTTTGTTTCACCCAGTATATGGTGGGATCCGAAAAAGATCCTTAATCTTTTTACGTTTCTGAGATTGATAATAAAAACATCTTGGAGTCTGCCTATAATAAACAAAATTTATGTTTGTAATTAATTGCCTTTGTTGGAAAACTTGAACAGAAGAATGTGGGAAAGAAAATTTCTTACATAACGGTCAATATGATTTATATCTGCCTGCAGTGTTTTGTTATGATTAGAGCTAAAAATGAATTTATTCAATAAACCCCTGGGATAACTAATTTCTAATTTGATGATTTCAGAATTTACAAACCCCTTATGTCAGGAGTCAATAATTATATTCTGTAAGGGTCCGTTTCGAAAACCTACTACACTTCTGCGGTCCCGACACCCAGCACTAAACCAGGTAGTGGTGTAACTGGAAGGGGGGCTACGAAGATACCTTCCAGTAGTTGTAACCCCCACCCCTCCCTCAGAAGATCATCCTCGTTACGTAGTTGAAACCAGGCAACAACAGGTGGCAACAAGGCCACCTCGATTAGGAAGGGGTACATTAGTTTAGATTACAATAAGTCTAAAACTAAAGGTAAAACTCCTGATAAAATTAAACTATTAGTGAGAAAAATGACACTTTTTATTTTGTGCAACCTGTCTGAAATTTGGAGTGAGGTTAGTGTAACTGATTCTCATTAGGGAGCCGAGATGTTATCTGTCAACTGAGATCTGTACTGATTTTTAATAAAGTTCATTTTTGAAAAAGCGGCTTCGAACACATAAGTTGAGCCGAACATAGTACACAGTTTCATTGCCAAATATTTTAGTTCTGGATATTTTTTGTCACACACATATTTAATCCAAAGTTTGTCCCAGGCAAGCGTTTCTGGAATTTAAGTATAAACCTCCTTTAAAGCGATTTCTTCCTGATACTCGAACATTTTTTGTTGACAGCTTCCCTATTGTAGTTTGCTAAAAGATTATTTTTAGGTAGGTACTACCTGAAATTTTGGAAAACCATTTACTGTGAGAAACAGTTTAGTGGAAACATATTGTTTAGATTACGAGTATTTCTATATAGTCTTAGCACTGTGCATTTTTAAAATGTAAAGATATTTATATATTTAGATTTGATTATAATTTTACTATAATTTTATTACTATATTTTGAATTTAACGGCGGCCCGCAAAAAAGAAGCTCACGGTCTGGATGCAGTCCGTGGGCCGACATTTGGTGACCCCTGCCCTATGTGATAGTTTACATATTTAATTTTTATTTTATTTAAATTCTTCATGTTTATCGAAGTTATTGTATTATTTATTAACTGCAGGTAGTAATTTTTTTGTTTAACTGTTTTTTTTTGTTTTTGAAAAATTTCACTCTAATATGGAAACAACTGCCAGTCATCAAGTTTCCAATGAGAATGTAAGAAATATATTCCACCTTAGAGCTACAGCAATGAACACAACTTCAGGACAACGAAGCATTGTGGTAGAATAAATAAAGACAACATTATCCCAGCCATAGTGAAGGCAATCAATATCAATGCCTTCAAACAAAAATTAAAAAATATAATTTATAAAAACTTTTTTATAACCCCTTCACACTTACATTTTTTACATTAGTTGTATTTTTGTTTCCTTTTTGTATAAATAAGTGTAAGTTCTCTTTCTGTTATAAATGTATAAATATTAATAATGATAATATTTGTACACATAAACAAATTGCTTGCACAATGGAACCTCATCTTATTCAAAACATTTAATGTGTTAAAGTAATTATATTAGTGTTTGTATTATATATTTTTTTCTAGTTTGACCTACATAGCCTTCGCCCAGGGTCTGTAATTAAATATTTAGCATTTTTATAAGTGACATTGAACTGCTAAAAGAAGGAGGAGACACGATAAAAAAAATGCTAAAAATACTGTTCAACAAATGTCTGTTTGAAGGTAAAATACCCAAACAATGGAGAAATGCCAACACAATCTTAATACATAAGAAAGGAGACCGAACAGACCTAAACAACTACCGTCCTATTTCCCTTTTGTCACAACTATATAAAACCTTCACAAGAATAATAAACAACCGACTAACCTATAAACTTGATAACTACCAACCAGTGGAACAGGCCGGATTCAGAAAAGGATACAGCACAATCGACCATCTACATACGCTTAAAATCTTAATTGAGAAAACCAATGAATACAACCTTCCGCTGTACTTAGCATTCGTAGATTATGAAAAGGCTTTCGACAGCATTGAACACTGGGCGGTTGAAGAAGCTCTGGTCAATAGTAGAATAGATTCAAGATACCGACAATTGATACATGATATTTACCAAAACGCAACCATGACCGTAATTCTGGACGACAAATTGATAACGGATAATATAAAAGTTAAACGAGGAGTCCGACAAGGCGATATAATTTCACCTAAACTGTTTACCTTGACCCTCGAAGACATAATAAAATCAACAGATTGGGAAAACAGAGGAATATGTATTAACGGAAAATACCTAAATCACCTTAGATATGCGGATGATATACTCCTGATCTCCTCGGAACGACAAGAACTGGAATTAATGCTGAATGAACTTCATGAAAAATCACTGCAAAAAGGCCTAAAAATTAACTTCAACAAAACAAAAGTAATGACAAACACGGAAGACCAAGAGGCAATAAAAATAAAAACAGAAAAAATAGAACAGGTAAATGAGTATATCTATCTAGGACAAGCAATCAGAGCTAATAGAGAAAATCAAACAGCCGAAATATTGAGACGAGTAAGAATGGGATGGGCAGCGTTCGGCAAACTTTCTTACGTTCTAAAAAATCAAACAATCCCTCTATACTTACGAAGCAAGGTATATAACTCCTGTATCATACCGGTGCTCACCTACGGAGCACAGACATTTACACAGGCCAATTTGGATAGGATAAGGAAGGCACAAAGAGCGATGGAGAGACAAATGTTGGGTGTATCACTTAGAGATAGAAAACGTAACCTGTGGATCAGAACCAGAACAAAGACAGTAGACGCGATAGAACAAGCAGCAAAACTGAAATGGAAATGGGCTGGACACAATGAACGTCTCCAAGACGGACGATGGAACAATGCCATCGGAAAGTGGCGTCCATACAATGCAAAGAGATGAAGAGGCAGACCACAGATGAGGTGGAAAGATGACATCAGAAAACAAGGAGGTCCCACATGGCAGAGAACAGCTCAAGATAGGGAAAGATGGGGAGAACTGGGGGAGGCCTATATCCAACAATTTAAGGATAGAGAATAGGTTCTAAAAAAAAACAAGTGACAAGAAAAGTGACATTTATACTTCCATGAAATAAATAAAAATAAATAAAATTTTTTTTGTAAAAAAAAACAAATGTATTAAATGCCAACGATAAAGATTTTTGTTATTAATTTGAAAATGTTTTTAATTTGCAAAAGATTGTAAACTTAATGCAATGAAAAACTTACTTTGAACAGGTGCTGGAACTGGCACATGTGCCCCTGCAAGTCTCAATTGGTTTTGCAAAGAAAAATCAATGTTATAGAATTCAATACCGGCACCTCTAGTGGCTTCCACAGGCTTTGGAGGCATGATTAGGTCTGGATTGTTTCTGAGGTCCAAGTTTATTAAGTCAGTGAGAAGATGAACAGCATCAGGTAAAGTTATCAGGCGATTTGAACTAAGATTAAGTTTCTTTAAAGAACCACATCTGAAAAAAGTGAATTGGATTTATAATAAATGAATTATGTAATTTAATTTCTTTTTGTGTTAACTCCTTTAAGAAGCTTTACTAAGCACTGTAAATTTACTATTAAAGCTTCTGCTCTGAACAGGTGAATGGAATTACATTAGGAAATATTTATTTTTCCACAACTCCTTTGCTGCATTCTCCCTTGGATTATTTGATGTACTTAGTGGAGAAATGTAGAGTATAGTGTTTTATAATACACAAAAAGCAAAATGAATTGCCTTCAGACATATTTTAACAAGAAATAATGAGATTATGTAACATTAATATAATTCCAAATATAACATCATATGGATCACCTATAATACACCATAAATGGCATACCTGCATAGACCTTCAGGAATCATTTCAATTCTGTTATTCGCTGCTGAAAAGAGCTCCAAGTTACTAAGTTTTCCAATACCAGATGGAATTCCTTCAAAATCTAATTGATTGTCATTTACATAAAGTCTCCTCAGTGCTACTAGTTTACAGAGAGATGCAGGAAGAGCTGTTATTTGATTGTAAGATAGGTTAAGGGTTTCCAATTTTTGCCAAACTTCCAAAGCTAAAAATTATTACAGTTACCTACATTATATACATTTAAAAACTATCCAGAAATCCAGCTTAATCCTAAACTTACCTGAAGATAACTCAGTAATTTCATTTTCACTCAAATTTAACCTTTTAAGATTTGGTAACGCATAAAGGGAATCAGGTACCTTTGGCAAATTATTCTCTGCCAAATCAATATCAGTAAGATTAATAAGACTCTCTAAATTTGTTGGAAAGTTATTCAAATTTCTTTGTGTGTTTCTCATATGTAGAGTTTCCAAATTCAGCAATGAAGGTAGTTGTCTTAGTTGGAAGTGGCCCAGTGGATTGTTATTTAAGATCAAGGTTTGTAGATTTGCAAGTCTTCTCGTTTGGGGTGGTAATGTTTCCAGATTATTGTCACTTAGATCCAAAAATAACAGGTCAGTTAGGTTTATAAAGAGTGAGTTTGGGATTGATTCAATGCTGGAAAATACAAATAAAAATAATATAGCTTTTAACTTTTCTTTTCAAGTTTCTCATTGCTTTGTCACCTGTTGTAACAATATACATCTTTCCTGATAATACTTACTGATTATGGCTTAAATTTAAAACCAATAAAGATTTAGCTTTATCTAGACCTTCAGGAACTTCTTTCAAATTATTGTGGCTGAAGTCTAAAGTGCTGAGCTCATCTAAATGGAAAAGTTCTACTGGTATACCTGAAGATTTTATTTTATTGTGCCGTAGATTTAATGTACGCAAGCAATTTAGTTCAGTCAATTCACCATATAATTTTTCAAGATTGTTTCTGGTTAATGAAAGATGTTCTAGTTTTAGGAGATTGCCCATTTCTTTTGGGATCTGTTCTAAATTTGTGCGATCTAATTTCAACCATTGCACGCCAGTCATAGAATTCACTGCGTAAGGAAATTTATCACCCTGAAATTTCAAAATTAAATTGGGTTTTTATAAGAGGATAATTATTCAAAAAATAGGACAGTTACTTACACTAAAATCATTTCTGGTAAAATCTACCCCTCTTACGAAGGGTAAAACTCCCGTATTTGCCATTATAGACTTTACATTAAATAACTATTTCACTTTTTTTCGATTGTAATATTTATTATACCATTTTTCTTAGGTAAAAACACCTTAATCTAATCCTAACACCTTAATCTAATCTTAATTAATCTAATCAAATGTCATTTCATTATTCATTAACCTAATGTCACGATCATATGTCATGTGCCAAATTACTCTTAGTATTTTCTTCTTTTTTGTTATTATTTTGTAAATACTTCATTTAACTAAAAATAAAGTTGTATAAATATTTCAATTGTCACTTTTTATTTAACTAATGTAATGTATGTATAATAAAATCTATTTGTGTCAAAGGTTGAAGGTTTCTTGTACAAAAAAGTAAGTAAATAAAATTTTTCAAATACATTAACCCAAAATACGCATGATCAAAAGCTTCGAATTATGCGCATTCGCATTACATCAACTCCAAGCAGTCCTTCCATTAAAACTGATTTAGGTGTTAATAATAAATTTAGTTATTATTTGAGACATTGGTACATTCGTTAAGTTAAAATTAAGTTAATTGGTTAATTGTTACAATACACTTATTTTTTCTTATGGCACCAGCTGAAGAAAACGAAAGAGATAGCGGAATGGAATCCCAAGAAGGTTCTCAATCTCAAGAACCAGAGGAAAATGTTACCCATACGAGCCAATCTGTTTCTGGAGAAAAGAAAAGACCTGAAATTGAAGACAGTTACGATGACGAGGTGAGTTATGATGATATAACTTAATAATTTGATGATCATTTTTCTCATAACCTTACTTTGAACACCTTGCCTGAAGATGGGGAAAAATAAGGTCAAAATAAAAGATTGGTTTAAGCAATGATGTAATTTGTCTTATATTTACAAAATAATACATCAATGATATTGTTACTATATCTATAACAATACGGGTTGCTTATTACTTAAGATTACTTTTTTCACATAGTTTAATGAGATTAAAATAGTTAACTAAATTAGATTAACAAATCAAAATAAAGTACTTTCTTCTGTCAGTAGCTTTTAGTCGATTGACATTTTCGAACCTATGTTCAATATACAAGTAGCAGCAGCAGGTAACTTTTCCAGACAAATAAATGTAATTTGAGTTATTTTTAGAATGGGGGCAATGAGCTCTATATTTTAGTCACAATGATATGTATGTTTTACAATATCCACAGCCCTCAGTGTGTTTGTGATGTATATAAATGACAATAAGTTTCAAAAGACTGAATCAAGAGTATTTAGTTAACAAAGAGTAATTTATTGAACAGTAATATTTTTCATTGTTATTTACAGCCTGATGAATCCTTATGCGAAAGATTATGGGGTCTTACAGAAATGTTTCCAGAGTCTTTAAGAAATTTCACTTGGTCTACAGTTGTGAACACTAAAGAAGGCATCAAATTTGCTTACAGTTTTTCAAGGAGTGCAACATGGGTAGTTTTTAGCACATCTATTATACTTTTTGCACCTATCATATTTGAGGTGGAGAGAGCTCAAATGGAAGAAATGCAAAAGAATCAACAAAAACAAATATTATTAGGACCTAATTCAGCAATATCAGGGGGAGTGCCTCCACCCATCATGCCCCCCATGCCACAGCAGAAGAGTTGAGATACATAGTTGTTATTAAAGCATTCACTTAAAATTGACTGTATATTATCTTTTAAAGATTATGTAATTTCAATCTGTTGTCTAATGCATTTGCAGATTGTTACTCATAGAATAATATTGTAGAGACATGTTTTATAGTTTGCAAAATTATTTGTGATACAGGGATGGTTACTTACAATAGTACATTACAGATTTTGTGAATTACATAAAATATGTTATTAGTGAAGGTTATTGTTTTATTCCTTATAGCTTTCCTCCAGAACCTAGTTTATTTTTATATCAGCACCAAAATTCTGATTGTTTGACCACACTTTGATCAACAATTTAATCTATATGCTGTAATATGTTTAAATATTGAGTATTTCTCATGTTTCTATGGCAAAACACTATAACAAAATGTAGTATTATACAAGTTGGTAAAATTGGCATTCTTGGAAGAAACAAAACACAAACATTTAAAATTCATGAAGATGTAAAAATATTAACTCTTTATAGTTTTTCAAATGAATGTCTTAATGCATAAACTATGATTCTTTGTCAAGTATATAGCTGGTATACAAATTAGTTTCAGTGTATACAAATTAGTTTCAGTAAATCCAAGCTGTAGGTAGGTATAATACCTACTTACTAGAAGTTTCTTAAATAACTAGAATGCAGCTATGACAAATAACCATTCACAAGTCCTACATGAGTAAATAAATTCAATAAACATCTATCATATATAAAAATTTATTATTATATCACATATATTACATCACAAAACCTTGATTTATCACTCTACTTTTTTTAAGATTATAATTTGCCTTTGGCTTTGTTTTTTTGTTTGGGTACTACTTTTAAAGGACTCCCGTACACTGAATTATACTTGGTCTTTAAAAATTCTGATTATTGTGCTCTTAATAATTATTTTGGACCTGTCAATTGGGATTTAATTATTGTAGAGAATAATATTGAAACAGCCATAAATTTTGAATAATGGTATTGCAGATTTTGTTTCTTCTAGCTTCCCTCGATGGTATCCTCCCTATCTCAAACATGGCATATTGGAAAAAAAAGACTTATATGAACAAAAATTCTTATTCCCAAAATGACTACAGTATTTTCTAATTTACTGTCTCAATGTAATAACTTGACTAGAGAGTGCTATAAAGCTTTTGTTGCTAGTTTGGACTAAAATATTCATTATGATGCCAAACAATTCTAGAATTTTTGTTAACTAATTTGGAAAAGACTATGGTAGTACCAATAATTTGTTCTTAAATAAAAGTGCTGTGATACTTAATCTGGAGTGGCTAACCTTTTTGCATCACTAATAAATACCTGAATGTTAATAACCTTTCTGATTCTGATCATTTAGCTAACATTTCTGTCTATAACTCTTCTAGGTATTCAAAGTTTAAAGGATAACTTGCTACTGTCCTGATAAGATACCTTCTAATTTTTCATAATGTGTGTTTATACTTTGAGTAAACCAATTTGCATGTTGTTTAATCAGTTACTCGTAACTGGAATTTTTCCAAACACATGAGAAACCAGTTGTGTTATTCCAGTACATAAATCTGGTGACAAGTCTAATGTTAAAAACTACTGTCCTATCACTAAGCTAAGTTTGATTCCCACATTTTTTTAACTACTTGTGACACAATTTCTTTCCTGGTATTGCAATAATATTATCATTGATAGGCAGGATGGTTTTGTCACAATTAGGTCCACAGTATCTAATTTCTTATTATTTCAAAATGATATAATTAATTCAATAGAGAGTGGCAGTCAAATAAATAATTTTTATGCTGATTTCTATAAAGCTGTTGATAGGATAAATCATCCTGCTATTATCAGGAAATTAGATAGAACAAACTTTCCAATATGGCTTACCTCAAGGTTATCAAGTTAACTTAGTAGTATCTCACCTTTCACTCTTGATTTTCAACCTGATTATAAACGACATTTTTGGATTTTCAGTTTTCCGTAGTGCTGACAGCACAGTGAAATTCTACCTCATGAGAACTGCATTTTTGGCTGCGACGTGTGACCGCACTAGAACTGCTAGAGTGGTCCGTGTATTACAAATGACAATTTCGTATTGAAACTGCAGATTGCCCAACAGCGACCTCTTGAAGCTGTTTGCACTGAGTGCTCTAAGCAGTCCATCTATGGAGGCTATTGAACTATGCTAAGAATAACATTTTACTTGACGCATTTACAGTTTACAATTGTAAAAATAGATTAGAAGTTTACCTGGTTTTTATGTATTAACCCGATGTGGTTTTAATCCAAGTTTTCTAAGAGGGGAAAAACCCTATCTATTATTACAAAAAAATATTCTATTCCAGAAGGTATTTGCAGCTGAAATATTAGAAGGGATAGATAGGGCTTTTCCATTACTGGAAAAGTTTGTCTGTCAAATGTAAGTGATAAAATGTACAAATTTAAATGAAGCACAGCATCAAAAGTTCCTCACCACATATAAAACAAGTGGTCCTAAGGTAGGTAAAGAAATAATAAATAAGACTTACTCGCAATCAATTTAATTTAACTATCCAGACTCAGACGACCGGTTTCGCTTTCTACAATATGCAAAGCATCTTCAGGTCTCGATACAAAGTTAAATAAATGATGCCGGTACTGTATCCCCCGCAAACCAATTAAAAACATAAGTTCCAGATATTTTGTCATATATTTGTAATATATAAAAATCGCAATAATTGTTGTAGTTGCAGTTGGCATGTAGTTTAAGGAATCAACTAGGGGTACCGAATTTTCGTTGTTACGAAATAGATGCGAATTTCGGCGAAAATTTTGAACATAAATGCGAAATATGGAGTTTTTGCCTATTTCCGTGAAATATCTGCAGCTGCTCAACTCACCCCTAAATAAGTAGGTATAAGGAAAGATTTTACGGAAAGTTTTCTATTGTAATTTTTGAAAGGATTGTTTATTGTTGTAACACGTGTTGAAACAGACGGATCTTTCATTGTTCATCATTAAATAGATAAGGAATTGATATTTTTCAATGTTGATTCTTTGAGAAATATAAATAACCCGACTGTTGTTATCTGCATTTCGGTCTTTTGTATTGGTAAAAATCTAAGTAGCGATAAAATTCGGCTAATTCTTATTTTCTAAACATATAAATTAGTCAACCAGGACAATCAGTGCTCTTTCCGTCAATTTTTACTGAGTGAAACACAGTCTATCAAAAAAGTTTTCATAGTAAAATAAAGTTACTTAAAGTATCCCCTAAAAAGGGACGCCCTAAAATAATTTTGAGTGATCGAGTCAAAGAATTTGCAACAGGTGGCCTAACGTGAATCCGCATATTGCCGTTTTCCGAAACCAAGTGGTGGCTGTAAGATCAGAAGGATTTCCTAACTTTTGTATGCCGGTGGGACCAAGCCTCCAACGCGTGGAGGATAGCTGTGGCTGTGTCCTCACCCAGGATCAGGTATCGTTGTGCAATGAGATTGGGAAACCACAGAAAACCAATCTCCCCCTGTCCTTGTGATTTTGAATGCGACTCTTAAGGAGTGTACGGGCCACGGGGTGCTCACCGTTTAGTGTTTGGTGTGTGTGGATTGTGTGGGTTTATGTAGTTATTGGTTGTGCGTTGTTGGCTTGTTTCTTTTTTGGTGTTTCTATGTTTATGATTTGTGAGCTTGGGTGGAGGTAAAGTTTATATGTGGGTAAATGATAAGTGTATGTATGAATAATGAATGTGTGTATATAAGTATTGTGTATTTATGTGCGGAGTTGAGTGAAAGTTTGGTTTATGGGATTGTTGTAGCAGGAGGTTGATATACAATGCATTGGACATTTGATTTAAATAGAAGATTGTGTCACTTCCCTTTTCAGGGAAGACTTTGAAGAGGATCATGGACGTGGGGAAAATTAAGTTGTTCATGTCCGAGGATAGGTCGTATGAGGGGATTTGTTTGGAAGTGTGTACGGGTTGTGTTTGTTTTGTGTCTTGGTTGGATTCTTCGGTGTGGGCATTTTTTTGTGAAAATGCCGGTCGCCTCCATTACAATTGGGACATTTGGGAACACCTATCGTGGAGCATGCAGTAGATCTGTGTCGTTGTCCACAGTATGAAAAAAAAAAACGCTAAGAAAAACAATGCTAGGAACCACCCGAAAGTGGAAAAACCCCCAAAGCTAAAACTGTGTACTTGGAACGTTAAAAGTCTTTATACCGCCGGTAAACTAGACAACATAATACAAGAAATGGAACGATGCGACCTAGACATCATAGGACTTAGCGAAATCAGATGGCCTAAGAGTGGTAAACGTACTAAAGAAAAAGCGACACTATATTACTCAGGAAATAACCTACTCCATCATTATAACGGAGTTGGATTTTTAGTTAACACAGCCTCAAACAAATCAGTAAGGAATTTCGTGGCATACTTAGATCGGGCAGCACTACTACAAGTCCAAGCCGATCCTGTTGACCTTAATATTATACAAATCTATGCACCAACCTTGGACAAGCCTGAAAATGAAGTAAAACAAGTGTACAGAGAGATTAAGGAGTTAATGAAACTGATCAAGAAGAACCAAACGTGTTGAAGATGTCGTGGGTGACTTTGGTTTGGGAGATCGAAACGAGAGAGGTGATATGCTAATCCAGTTCTATCAAGAAAAAAAATTAGTCATTTCGAATACCTGGTACAAACTGCCACCTCGGAGACTCTACACCTGGCAGTCTCCACACCATACGCATGACAACATCTTAAGAAATCAAATTGATTTTTTATTGATTAATCAGAGATACAAAAATAGATTGCAAGGAGTAAAAACGTACCCTGTAACAGATATCGGATCTGATCACAGTCCCGTAGTAGGAAAATTGAAAATTAAGTTTAAGAAAATTAATAAAGAAAATTGAAATAAACAGCTTAAAACAACCTAACGTTAAACTAAATGTCACAGAAAGATTAAATGAGGCAATAGCGGATATCACGACAAGATCTAAACAATCGGCCAGTATAGAAGACAAATGGAATTGTATTAAAAAAGCTATCGTAACCACCACCAAGTCTCTGATCGCTTCCCAAAAGAACAAAAAGAAGAATTGGATGACTGACGAAATATTATCAATGATGGACGACCGCAGATCATTTAAAAACAAAGACCGAACCAAACATCAGCAGATCAACCGACAAATACAAAAAGAGTGTCGCAAAGCTAAAGAACAGATAGGTGTGCAGAAATGGAGGAATTG